TTCGTCACGAGTTCCCTCATCGCGAAGGGCTTCCCACCTCACTCATCTTTCAAAGCGTGCGATTCTCTGCCTCGTTCTGAGATTCGCTCGCATCCGAAGTTTGCTGACCACTAGATGGTGATCGGTGCTCAGTTCTACCCCACGCCACACCCTCGTATCGTCACAAGGCCCCACAAGTCCGCCGAAACGATCACGTGATCGATCAGCGATTGCTGGCACACAGTACCAGTCCGACTATCAGACTCCCTGTGCCAGGTAAACTTGTGGATCTATTTGTCCTGGAAGGTGTTGGTGATGGTCAGGTCATTGCCAGCACAGAAGTCCAGCAACTTTCTGCCATTCCCGTTCAGCGTGGCTTCCCCAAATCGACCGATCACGCCACTCCATGTAGCATCGTCTCTCCCAACTTGTGCATTGAAGTCCCCCATCAACACAACGCGGTCGCCGTTCGGAATCCTTTCTAAGGTTCCATCCACCTCCTCCAAAAACGCATCGTAATCAGGCTCGCTGTTCGGCCCGTAGACCTGAACGACGGCCAAGACTCCGATTTGCTCCAGTCTGAGGCGGATCAGAACGACACGTTCGCTGACTGGGTTCTATTCGATGACGCTTTCGGCCAGTTGGGGACTAATGAGTATCCCTACTCCAGCCTGAGCAAACACGGTCGAGTCGACTCCACTCCAGTAGAGGGTCCATCCGTGGTCTAGGGAAATGGAACCGGTGCCTTTTCTCTTGGCTGAGGCTAGGCCAACTATATCTAGTCGTCTCCTCCTAGTCTCTTCCGCGAGTTCAGGCTCCTTACCGCCGAGTGTTAGCACGTTCCAAGTCCCGATGTTCAGAGTCCGTTGCCAAGGTCGTTTACCGTTCGATTCCGCTCCTGGTCTGCCCTTGGGGCATCGTGCCGAGTGTACGCTATGGCTGGTGGCAAGCCGACCGATAGGCCTGGATGTAGCATGACGGGGTCCGACGCACCCAGAGACATCGGATTGCCCGTCCCCAATAGCCAACTTATCAATAGTCACCCTGGGCGCACAGTGGCTATCGGCCTGATTATTCTGGGCGATGACTGAGCCAGTATGGAGTACCCGAGCCGAACTCATCATGCTGGATTTGGTTCGTCTTGGCGAGAAGTACTCCCAACTGCCACCCCAGACGTCAGATGTAGAGACAAAATGGGCTCTATTTCGGTCTGGTGTTTCGGCGGCGGCAGCAAGAGTGTGTGGGGAGAAGCGCATCGGAGTGGCTCACAGTAACGCCAAGCGAACGCACTGGTGGACACCAGCGGTGGGCGAGGCTGTCACTGCCAAGAAGGTAGCCTACCGGGCGTACATGTCGAGTAGGTCTGATTCTTCTAGGGCGTGCTATTCCGAGGCGCGACGAACAGCTGCTCGTGTTGTGGCCAAAGCGAAACAGAGACGTGGAAGGAATTCGCCCATCAAATGGAAGGTTTGTCGGAGACACGGAGGAAAATGAGTGCGTCCACTTTGTCCCAGTGGTTTGGCTGCATAAGTCGGCCATCTGTAATACAAGTGTCACATATGCACGCCTATGCTGTGACAATCGACTTGAAACCGATGGGTTTCAGGCCGGCATTAATTTACTATGCGATGTGCTCCGGGCATTCAATATTTAGTAAAACGCAAAATCCTCAGGGAGGGGGCTTCAGCAAGCTCTTTTGTTCAGAATGTGTGTGCTTCTTGCCATCTATTTCTCTGTCAGCCTCGTTTAGGAACGGAAACATCCATCACGTTGATCAACAAATCATTCTTTTTCTATTCATGGATCAATTCTATTCATTTTTCTAATGATATTTGAAGCGAAACATTTCCTCGTGAAGAAAACCCAAGCGTATGATTATACCATGCTTGCATTCGGCATGAGCCTGAGGCTCAGGCCGTGAAACCCCGCCTTCTCATGCATGTCATTCCCGTCATGCATGTCATTCCCGCTCTGAGTTCCACGGTGGCTAGAGCTGCGGAAAATCGTCGACCGCAGCGCTTTGAGTTGAGACTACCTCATATTCTATCGATTTTGCGAGAAAAGTACATTTTCTGACTCCACTGCGAACGTCACTTTCCATTGGAAAAAAATAGACGCATGAAGCCTTCAGGAAACACATTTTTAGCGCTTCCTGTGTAGCGAGCCCGACCCGGTCATGAAAAGATTGCCTAGAAAATTCAATTTTTGTGCATCATACCAATCAATTCTCATCCAACTAAAATTGTAATCAAACAATACCAATATTCATATTCGTCACATTCAACCTCCTGATGCTTCACAAAGAACATGACTACTGGTTAGTGTGCAGAGACCTGTTGATTCGTGAATTGTGCCTGATTCGCTTGAACCTGCACCGGCTGCTGGGGTAGCCAAGTTCCCACCGTGACGTCACGGTGGAGTTTAATTGGCTTCTCGGGTCCCAGGTTTCAACACGAGTAAGGTTTCAAAATATGCTGTCGGCGCTGTTTTCCTGCATGGCAGGCAGAAAGTTGGGTCGAAAAATCGGGGGAAATCCCATAGAAGGGAACGGTGACAAAACTGAACGATAGGGAGAGGAATGCACCGCCCAACGGGTACCTCCCTTGGATCCATCCTTCCTTGGATGGCATTTATTTGGTTGCAATGATGAGGCTTCAGCTTACCATCGATTCCACTTCAGCATGCATTGAATGGTTTTCACATGGTTTTGGGAGGGGAGGAGCTGTGAAGAGCATCAAGTTTTCGAGACATCAGCTAGAAGTTAGTGAGGATCTTAAGGTCGTTAGGTTACCAAAGGAACAAGACCCTCCAGAGCGGGCTAGGTGCTTCGAGGCATTTTCCACTCGCCGTAGAAGTAAGTGCGTTATAAAAGGCCGTGACTGCGCTCCCTCCGTCGCAATGCGCGTGAGCCACTCGGGTTCTATCTGGTTATTCTATGTATCTCGACCAACGAATCCCTGGGCCTTTATTTCCCACAACGCACTCACGCCCGAGACGGCTCGTCGCACTGTTTATACGGTAAAACGATGGAAGGGAAAGGTTTCCAGCATATCAGCTTCTTTACGCCTAGCCATGGATCGTGGTGACGACTCCCACTGAGGCGTAAACCTATCGAAAGTGAAGACGGCCTAGCGTCGACGGCATCACAAGTGTCGCGATGCCGTCGGCACTGGGCAGCATGCGCGTGGAAGGGAAGTGCACAGAACGCCATTTAGATACTATGACGTTTCGGGCGAGGCACTTCCATTCGACGGTGCATCCCTCTCCCTGTCGCTAAGTGCGACGAGGCGCCATGGTAGCAGCAAGAGCGGCTTCCGATTGCGGCAAGCTGTGGGTGTGCCGTCTCCGGTTTTTTTTCTTAGCTCGGTGTTCCGAGCGTAAACTGGGGTGTACGGGGAACGTCGAAGGACAATAATGTAGATGTCAAGAAGTATCGCTTGATGTCGAACGGAACGGAGCCAGAATTATAAAATATCGACGAAGACGAAACGACGTATCGTGCCGAACCGTAATGCGACTAAAAGGGTCACTTAAAGGTCACTTTCGCCTTCTCGCGATTCATCTCTCTCGTGACGTCTTTTCTGGCGGCTAGCCAATCTCCCTGCAGGTGATTTAACCTTCCAAATGCGACCGTGAGTTCCTCGAAGGAGGCATTGCAGGGCAACTATGCAAATTTCGTCCACGACGTCTTCATTCTATCCTTGTGCATCGTCCGACTTCGATTCCCTATTCTCTGATGACGACCTGCATTGACCGGAACGGAATTTGCCGGCTGCGATTGGCCAAATCGGGCCAAATTTGACTTTTTTTTGCCTTGATTGCTTCTCCGAAACCCATTTTACTCTGGAAAATGCTGACTTCATGGGCTCTGACTAATAAGTGCAATAAAAGTTCATTTCGACCTTTTCTCCTCTCGACCCTGCCGTATTTCTACATTGTCTCCACCGACATTTTCCTCGTCGATTATTTCTTTTTCAGCATTTCTTAATTTCGGCCTTCCGAAGCGCACCAGGGGAAATTGCACTTGGTTCCTGGTTCAGAAAGGAAAATAGAAATTATCGGCCGTCATTGATGTGTTAACACGAAGGACATCGTTTTAAAAAAACTGAAAATTATGCGCCATTGCACACTCGAAACCACTCAATTCGCGTTCGAACCACGAATTTCACGAACGCGACTCCTTCCTATAATGCAAGAATGGCACCCAGCGAGTCGGAAAACCCGACAGCATTTCGAGCAATTTCCCACAGCAATTTGCCCATTCGATTCCCCTGCCCCATCAAGGTCGTGCGGCACTCGACTTTTTGTCGCACGACCATCTTTCTCATGCTCTAATTGTGTGGCCGACTGCCTCTGGTCGAAATCGATATCAGGCCCCTAGAATAATCTCTCCACTTGGTCCCCTTTAACCTTCACAATAACCTTAACGAATTCTTGAAACAGCTTGCCGTAATGATGACTCTAGGAGCGAGGCATCCGAACATCCCCTCCCCTCCCCTCCCCTCCCCTCCCCTACCCTTCCATCCACCAGTGCATTGATGCATTATCGATAGTTCAGATCGATGCATCGATGTCAGGCATCACGACAGCCCTAAAAAAGAAGTTGGACATGGCAACCTTAAAAGTCTTTATGAATAAATATTTGATATGGTTCCTCGCTCTTTCTCCACGTGTCACAATCGGCAACAACAACGGCAACGGCACCGGCAACAACAACGGCAACGGCACCGGCAACTGTCAATTTATTTATCGGCTGGTTAGATCATAATTGGCCGGTGAGATCATGATTGGCCATCGACCCGTCGGTCAAATATGATCGTCGGTGCAGCCCTAATTGTAAGTAATTATTGCATATTGCATAAACCTAATCTTAGTGTAATTGGTTCTCAGGGCGGCCAGGAGAATAAGCAAAACAAACCGTTTAATGCAAATTTTTCTTCATCTCTCCGCTCGTCTGCTTTCCCTGGTTGATGTTTTCCCTAATTTCAATTAACTCATCCACAGCGCGTTAATTTCTTGCATTAGAAACGGAGTCGACAAGAGCGGCACACTGTTCCTGAGATGAAAAATGTTTTGATTGGCGGAGTGACGGAAGCCGCGACGCGATTGGCTGCTGCAGAAGTTGCACGAGGAGCGGCGACCAATGAGGTCGCACCTCCCCGGGGATGCAGCCAATCGCGCTGCTGCCGACGCCAGCCCCGAAGGCCTCTCACCTTTCCCATGTCTCCGGGCTGCGGCGGCTTCACGGGCTCCGGCACCGGCTCCGGGCAAGGGTTGCCCTCGAGGGAAAACTTGTATTCCTTTTCCACCGGTTTCTCCGCCTGCTGAAGAGACAGCGCCTCGGCCGACTCCTTGTATTCGAACCGGAATTGTGTCGCAGCGATAAACGCACAACCCTGTGTCAGAAAATAACAAATATAGCAGTCGCGTAGGGGAGCACAGTATCCTCAGTCGCACAGTATCCTCCGTCGCACATTAAAGAATACAAATTTAAAAGAAAACTAAACTGAGGCTCGCGCATGAATATAAAAAGCAGAAAAAAGTGCATATCGAGAGGTGACTGTGTCAATCCTCGATTTAGCAACACTGTTGGTCTTCGCCAATTCCAGCGCTATTTTGAATGAATTGTACCAAAATATCAAATGAACTGAGTGGATGCGAACCTCACATTGCCATTTTTGGCACTGGATTTGCGTTGCGGCACGTATGCTACTTGCCGCGAAATCGATGAGGATTTTTAGCGAGGGAAAAAGCCTGTTTGTACAGTGGAAAACTGATGGCAGATGGTGGCTTGCGGGGGTGTGAGGCGGGATCGCTTGTTATTCGCTTATATGAGGATTTCATGTGGGGAATTTTTCTCCGGAAAGAGCCGGTGTCTAGGGTTCACTGTTCCAGGAAATTGGAACTTCAATACAAGCATTATTAAAGCTGACTCGAAACTGACTATTACACGGTGACATGAGCAATATTGACAAGAGACCAAAGGGAGTTAGATAGTAGGAAAATCCCTGGAAAAATTGCGTTGTTGTGAAAACAATTGAAAATTAAGTAATGTCGAGAAAAATGTATAATTACTCTAGGGCGAATGGAGCTTTCCCTCCTCATTTAACCCGTTCTATAACACACCGACGCGGGAAAGAAATCAAGGGCACGAAAAAGCCAATTGGCAAGAAATGGACCTGCAAGACGGAGAAGACGGCGAAGCAGATGGTGTAATTCCTCTCCCTCGCGAAGGGCTCGCACGGATGATCCGTGAAACCGCGCGCCTGGTCCAACGAGATCCCCAAGAAGAACATGGACACGGCCCACCCGACGCTGCCGAACATCCTCTGCCACCCGTAGTGGTCCTGGTCCTCCCCGAGGCTCGTGAGCACCGCCGAGTCCGCCAGGGTGATGGCCGGACTGCTCAGGCACTCCCCGATCACCACCAGCAGCAGCAGCAGGAAGAACACCTGCGAGCGGAGACGCCAAATTCGAAACTCAGCGAGGAAGGCACATCAGCTGACTTCAGCGTAATGGAGCTTTAAACCTCCTTTAGCGGCGATAAAGGAGGTTTAAAGCTGCATTACGCTGAAGTCAGTTTTATGCAATCCACCCTCAATCCTCCTCGCATCGACCTCCTTCAGTTAAAGTCTCGACAGACGGAAGAAATGTTGAGCGGATTGCATAAAACTGACTTTAGCGTAAAGGAAAGTTTACGCTGAAGTCAATTTCATGCAATCCACCCCAGAACTCGCACAACCTCGAATCCAATGGCAAAACCGACTCTTGGGTTGGAAGTCACTTTTAAACCTGAATTCCGCTGAGAAATTTTCTACCAAGGATCAAGGATCAAGGTCAAGGCATTCCACTCGGTGGATCGAGGTCAAGAAGTTCCCTGCAAATACGGGCATATTACCTTCCGATTCTCGCAATTTTTTCCCTCGTATTTTTTCCCCCGGGAAATCGATTCGGATGGAAGCCAGACTCGCTACGGATGGAAGCCACGTGACTTCGAGGGAAATTGCCCTCCCTTAGGGAATCGTCGCTCAAGTTTCCCATCGGGTTGAAAATAACTTATAATTTCCTTCGTTTGAGTTTCCACGGCAACATCTCGAGAAAAATATTTTTTTGTCGCCTCCAATCCCAGAAAATCGCGAAGTTTTTTTGTGGATGCTCCGAAGCGATTGACGTCACACCTGAAGGAACCTTGATGAGAAATCGCCCACGAGAGTCGATCGGGAATTAACAGCATGAGATTTCAGTTTTGTTTTTTTCCCCCGATTCCTCCTCGCTACGGAAACCCATCGATTTTTACTCTCTCGAGCAGACGGAGACATCTACCGGCGAGAGAGCGCATCGCATCCCGAAACATAAATATATAATTATTCACGAATTTTGACGCGATCACGACGGCCGACCGCGACCGCAACCGGACCAACCGGGCGACCGCAACCGGACCAACCGGGCGACCGCAACCGGACCAACCGCTCACCTTCCGGACGTCGTCGCCCGTGAAGACCATGTTGGAGTTGGCCGGCCGGATGTAGCCGCTGTGCGCCTCCCGGTCGAAGTTGGACGCGTAGAGCACCTCGTGCGGGGAGACCCCGACGGGGTAGAGCTCCTTCGGCTTGCTGGGCTTCGTCGAGCGCCGCCACCTCCCCGGGGAGGTCCCCCAGTCCTCCCCGGGGAGGCCCCCCAAGTCCTCCCGCTTCCGGCGGCTCTCGTCGCGCCGGTCGTAGCTCTCGCCGTCGTAGTCGGCGTCCTGCTTCGCGTAGGTCTCCGCGTCTGGCTCCATTTCCGGGATCTAAGGAAAAATACATTTTGTTTTAAATCTGGGAATTTATATAATATATGCATTAAACATTTTCATGAATATCAACTTTTTTTAAATTGCTTTCGATGCCCAATAGGCAATCATCAGGTTCTCTGTCATCTGATCAACTTTTTGCGCCGAATTTATCCTTACAAATAAGCCTGTCGGCACAAAATACCGCGTTTTCTTTCGGTTTTTCCCAACGAACAAAAAAAAATTCTTTCTTCAGCGCGGGAAAGTGCGAAAGCGCGGGAAAATGCAAAAGCGCGGGAAAGCATACCGCGATGTAGTGATGCTTATGGGTCTGGTTCCAATTGACGCAGGTGACGGCGCCGGGCTGGACGAACCCGATCGCCAGGGTGAACACGATCCAGCAGATGATCGCGGCCAGGAGCATCAGCTTTCCCTTGCGGTAGCTGTGGAGAGAAACACCGTCGGTTTCAGACCGGTTTCAGAGCGGTTTCAGAGCGGTTTCAGAGCGGTTTCAGAGCGGTTTCAGACCGGTTTCAGAGCGGTTTTAGAGCGGTTTTAGGCTTCTTTAATCGCTTATTGAATGGTATCGCGGCTTATTTCGTTGTTTCGCGGTCTAGACTGAACGAGGATCGAACTCACATGAGATGGGATGTAAATCACATGAGATGGGACATAAATCACATGAGATGGGACATAAATCACATGAGATGGGACATAAATCACGTGAGATCGAATTTAAATCCCGTGAGATTGAATTTAATTCACATGAGATTAGAGCTGAACGAAACGAGACGGCATCGCCCTCACTCGAGACGAGAGGAAGACAGGAAGACGCTTCCCATCCCAATCGGACAGGAAGCGTGCGAGAGGAATCGCGAAAATCTC